GCTGCTCCCCCTGCTTGTGCTCTCTCTGTCCAATAAATAAATAAAATCTTTAAAAAAAATAAAGATCATTTTGAACTCATGGATGTAAACACATCTAATGGGCTTCATCCCACTGTGCTCTGTCGAAGCTGAGGCAGTCTGGTCCCCCTCAAGCCCGCGTGCCCCTCGATCTCAGTGGATGGCACGTCCCTCCAGCACCGTGTTCAAGACGAAAATCCCTTCACACCCTCCACCATATCCTGCTGCCTCTACCCCCTCAATGCTTCTCAGGGTTCCCCTGCCCATCCCTGAACCCTCCCAGTTCAGACCTCACCTCCTCTCTCCCAGGTCGCTGCGGCAGCTTCATAGTCCCCCTGCCTCCAGCCCAGCCCCCTCCAGTTCCGTTCCACGTTGCGTGGAGACTTTCCAGACTCCTTGAGCTGCCAACCAGGACTATTCAGGGCTTGGCCCGGCCTCCTCTCTCACTTCTCCTTGCTCAGACTAACTCTTCAAGCCACCTTGAAATGACCCGTTACCCTGCACACTTCTATTTCATTTTTCTGAGACTTCTCACTTTCTTTAACCTCCTTGTCAAGAACTGCCAGGGCCTAAGATTTTTACCCCACTCGCAGGCTAACAAGGTCACCTACCACAGTTTCATGGGCGCTGGCAGGAGATCTGAGACCCCCCGGGACAGAGACAAAGCCCTCGGGATGCATGAGCCTCACATTTGCTTGGGGGGTCTCCCTATCCATCATGTGCCCGGAGGGGGAGGTGGAGGCGGGCCCAGGTGGATCCTGGGCACACCCTGGGCTGGGGGCTCGGCCAAGGAACCTCAAGCCTAGGAAAATCCGGATCTTTTCAAAGAGGATGCTAGCAAACCTGCCCAACTTTTGCCCTGAAGGGAGACACTATCTTCTAAGGTGAGAGAGATTATTTCCTTATTCTGGTCAGGAAGAAAAAAAATTGGCCCTCTTCCCGGGAGGGAGAAACTGTATCTTCTAAGGCTTTTCAGATAGTCTAGAGTAAAAGCTGTGATGTTCACCAGGCATGCAGAAACGCAAGGGCCCATGGGCTGTCTCCCCGAGGTCTTGCAGGTGTTCTATTCCCTTCTGGTCTTGGCCAACGCCTTACCCTTCAAGACCCAGCTCAGACATCCTGGCTCCAGGGTGCCCTCCTTGCTTCATCCAAGTGGCTTACCCTCCGCTCCCTCAAGCCCCACAGCCCCCTTGGCCTACTGTTGTTGCCACGCTGCTCACACTAAGCTGAAAATCGGCACGTGGCTCAGCAACCCCCAGATCTGACCTCACCTGTACTCCCTCTAGACTGTAGAATGCCTTCATACAGATTTGGAAAAGGTGCCCCTTCTTCTGGGTGGACACGGTCCCGTGCCAGGGAGCAGCCTTGACGAGGGGAGCCCAGGTTGGATTTCAGTCCACTTATCACCTTGGCCGTGCAACCTTGGCAGTGAGCGACCTCCCGGCCCAAACGTGCAAGCCCTGAATTTATTTACCTTTTCAAGAAGATCTGAGGCTTCCCCTACCTGTCCCCATCCAAGAGTTGGCATGGTTCCTGCAACAAGCCTGGGAAATCGGGGTAGAAATACTCATTTTAAGAGCAGGGAGAGGGAGGCCGAGATGTTCCGGGACTTGCCTAGGGCTCCCAGCTGGTCTGGAGCGCAGGTCTCGCGCCTGCTACTGAGGTTCCTCCCGCCCGATTGCGGAGCAGGTTTTCTGACTTGAAAGCCACACAGACGTCAGAGGTCCCCTCTGGCTTAGGGGATGGGCATGGGCTGAAAGAGTTGATTCCTGGAGAGCCTTCCTCGGAAAAGAATGTTCCCCGCAAAGTGCGTCCCAGCTGGGGACGAGGGGGAGCCTTTGCTCTGAGTTGGCCCTTCTCCCCCCAGAGCCCTGCTCCACGTAGCCTTCCTGCGGAGGAAGGACCTGCTTCCTGCCACAGCTGCTCCCCACGTCCCCCAGCCAGGATGACACCGCCGAGCAGGGGGCGCCTCGGGTCCCGGAATCCGAAGTGCATGGCCAGTGACCGCATCTCCCGGTGCGTGCAGCCCTCCCACCACACCCTGGGTCTGCCCCGCGGGGTGGCTCTAGGTCTGCGAGCGGGGACGGGCGGGGGTGTCGCTGCTGCCCCCAGACGGCGCTCCTCTCCTCTCCCTGTCTCTCCTCCCTCTCCAGGCCTGTCCCCTGTGCCCCCAGCAGAAAGGTGCGCATAGCGAGGGCAAAGTGGGTTCCCCGCATTAAGGTGTTGGGAGGCCACCACGGGCCAGACGTCTTCAGGGCCCGTTTGAGATTTTTCTTGATGGGCAGGACTGGCAGACCACGGGGATGGAGGAGCAGAAGGGCCAGGGCATGACCCAGTCTCTCTGCGGAAAGCTGGTGGCTTCCCTCATCTCAGCCCTGCCAGCTGCAGCTCCAGCCTCAGGCCGAAGGCTTGCAAACGGAGGGCAGAGGGAACCAGCCTGCCAAGGGGAGGGGGGACAAACGCCAGGGAGGGGACACAGATGAGCCCCTGTCATATGTCACAGCCTTTGTCCCTGTCACTCTCAGACACGCACATACGCACGGTTGCCCAGCTCTGGACTCCTGACCCCTTGCTCAGGGCCCACGGAGAAGCCAGGCCGGTTCAGCCCCATCTTGGGCCTGTCTGCCTGGCCAGCCCTGTGATGCTCACTGCGGCTGGCTGCCTCTGGCAAGTTCGCCCAGAGCTGGGGCCAACTAGGCAAGGCTTAGCTGACTCTGGTTTTCTACACAACAGGTCAACTGGGATGCTGTGGGGGATGGGAAAAAAGAGCCTTAGCTTTTGGTGTCGGTCAGCCCTGAGTTCAAGCCTCACTCTGGCCTCTAACTGGTGCATAACCTTGGGTGAGTCCCCCCCCCTGCCCCGTTATGAGCTGAATCGTGTCCCCCGAAGTTCCTATGTTGAAGCCCTAACCCCTAGTATCTCAGAATGGGACTATCTGGAGACGGGGCCTTTAAGGAGGGGATTAAGGCTAAATGAGGTCAGGAGGGTGGGGCCCTGATCTAGTAGGCCTGGTGTCCTTATAAGCAGAGACACTGGGGTGCTCAGGCAGAGGGAAAAAAGTCAGATGAGGACACAGCGAGAGGCAGCCCTCTGTGAGCCCAGAAGAAACCAAACCCACCGACACCTCCATCTCAGACTTCCAGCCTGTAGAACTGTGAGGAAATAACTTTATTCTTTAAGCCCCCCCGCCCCCCCTCCCAGTCTATGGTATTTCGTGAGGGCAGCCCTAGCAGGCTAATACACCCCCTTTCTCTGAGCCTCCATGTTTTCATCTGGGGACTGTTTTGCTGATTAAAGAAAATAATGCAGGGAAATGGATCACCAGTCGCAGGTCCCCCCCTACCCCCCAGGGCTCAGCATGTGTGATACCCTGTTTTGTGGCCCTGGGTGTGCTGTCCTGTCACACCTCCCCAGGGGCAGAAACATCCAGACAAGGGGCGGGGGGTGAAGCAGGTAGCCCCAACCCTCCTGCCTTCTGGCCTCTGCTGGGTGGATCCCTGCACTGGCCTGAGGATGGTAGGCCCGAGACACACACACACACACATACACACACACACACGTATATGTGCTGATCAGCCCTCTGGCAGCTTCTGCCCACTTCCTGGGAGCTGGACATGGGCCCGAGACACACACACACACACACACACATACACACACACGTATATGTGCTGATCAGCCCTCTGGCAGCTTCTGCCCACTTCCTGGGAGCTGGACATGGGCCCGAGACACACACACACATACACACACACGTATATGTGCTGATCAGCCCTCTGGCAGCTTCTGCCCACTTCCTGGGAGCTGGACATGGGCCCGAGACACACACACACACACACACACACGTATCTGTGCTGATCAACCCTCTGGCTGCTTCTGCCGACTTCCTGGGAGCCAGACATGGGACCCCAGGGCTGGGCTGGGGCCCAATCCACCGTCTGGATCCCAAACCTGCCCCAAATTGGGGGCCCCACTTGGGCAAAAGGCCCCCTCTGACTTTCCCCATCTGTCTCAGGCCTTGCGGGAGGCAGTGGGCACTTGCTTACCTTATGGCTGGGGGTACCAGACTGCATAGCAAGCTCAGCTCAGGGCTATGGGGAGCACTGGAAGCCCAGGTGGGGTGGGGGGAGGGGAGGGGAGCCTGCAGTCATGGCTGGCTCCCCTCAGTTTCTGGGTGTTGGCCTACCTACAGCAACCCGCGGCCTGGGAAGTCCTGCTGCCGGCTGGCCGCATCTCACAGAGGACTGGCCTGGAGCTAGAGACAACAGCTGTTTGCTGACTGGCTGGATGGGCTGGTTGATGGCCAGGGGCTTCATTCAGGAAAGCCCAGCCGCCCTGCCCTGGGCACACTGCTCATCGCCATTCACTGGGGCTCCATTTGAACTTTGTGTTGTTCTCTGCTGTTTCCCGGGGCCTAGAAGAGGGCTGACATTTAACAGGCACTTGACAAATACGTGTTTTTAGTCAATGCTGAGGACACAGACATGAATAGTCCAAATCTGGAGGACAAAGCAGAAGTATCAACAGACAACTGCCATTCGATGAGATGTCTCTTTGTGAGGACATGTGGGAATGTGTACAGGCACTGCCTGGCCGGCCGAGGAAGTCAGAGAAGGCTTCCCGGAGCAGACAGGCTTTGAAGGATGAATAGGAGTCAGACCAGGCAATGACTACGGGGAACGGTATTCCTGGGATAAGCAGCAGAAGCAGGAAGGTGTGAGAGCATGCTTGAAAGGATACAGCGGCGGGAAGGACGGAACCAAGGGCGGTGGGGAGGCAGTAGCTGAGCAGGCTGAGGGGCAGACCGGGGCCAGGACCATGCGAGCTGAGTGGCTGATGGTACCCTGCAGATTCTGTCAAAGGACAGGGCCCTCAGCAGAAAGGAGGGGGGCCGGTCTTCTGAGCCCCACCTGGGAAGGGACTTAGGCATTAATGCGGGGTCTGGCTGGCTGAGCAGAGCTCTAGGCCCTTGAGGAAAACAGAGGACATTTTTAAAAGAGCTTTTATTAAATTCTCCCCACACAGCATCTCTTGTCCCATTGCCACAGCCCCGGGGTGTGTCCACCAGGGAGAGGGCTCCGTCAGTGTTCTCCGGTGGCTGGAGCTGGGCTTGTCCATGCAGGTGCGGAGCTGGCCTTGCTGGGTGGTCCTGGTGTAGGAGGGGCTCAGAAACTGCGGGGGAGGGTGGATGATTGTGGGCACTGGTAGCTGAGGGCAGTCTCCCCTGTCGGGATGGGGGGGCTTGTCTCCTCAATACACACCCTGAGATGCTCCTGAGATGCTGGGAGGGTCCAAAACACCCCAGCTCCATGGGGGGAGGGGTGTGGGCAGATGTGGCCAGGCCGCTCCTCCGAAGGACAGTCCTGGGGAAAGGAGCCCTTCCCGTGAAACAGGGAGGAGTGGGGGGCAGGGGGGTGGGGCGGAAGGACCGGCCTGCAGGGCTGTGAGGGAACAGGGGCCAGGCCGGGGCTCTGTTTGCTGCAGCTGGTGGGAGAGTCCCTTCCCTCTCTGAGCCTCATTTCCCTTTCTGTCTAACGAAGAACTTGGCCTCTGGGTGCTCTCACTCTCCTTCATGAAGGACGCTGCGCCTGCATGCTTCATATTCTCTTCTCGAGTGTTCTGCCCTGATTGTTCTGCCCGCTTGGCCTAGGCACACTCAGGATGTTGCAAGCAAGTGTGACACGGGGGCATGCCCTCCATCCCACCCACCTTGGGACTGTGTGTGTGTGTGCGCGCGCGCTCAGATGGGGGGCTCCTGCAGGCTTGCGGGGGGGGGGGGGCGAGGAGCGGGAGCCCCGTCGGCCCGCTTCTCGGCTTCGCGCGCCGGCCAGTCTTGACATGCGGCCCCCCGAGGGGCCGGGGGGCGCCCGGGCCTCACAGGAAGTTGGGCTCCCGCACCACGAGGCAGGGCGGGCCCCCGCTGCCCCCGCCGCCGTCCAGGGGCCGGTACACGAAGTGGAAGTCGCGCTTGGGCTCGCTCCGCAGCAGGTAGCCCTTGATGCGGTGCGGCAGCGCCTCGTCGGCCAACTGGAAGCAGCGCCCGTCCACCAGCACGAACAGCCGGTGCTCCTGGGGCCGCGGCACCTCGAACTTGTCGGCGCACTGCGCGCACAGCGCCTCGGCCGGCGTGTCGGCCCGCGACGCCAGCGTCCGCGACTGGTGATCGGGCTCCAGGTACGACACGCAGATGAAGTCCTGCGGGGCGAGGCGGAGGGGGCTGGCGTCACCGCGGGGCCCAGCGGGACCCCGACCCTGCGAGCGGGCACCGGGGGGGGGGGGGGAGCGCAGTGGCCTTGGACGAGCCCATTGCCCTGTCTGGGCCCTGGGCTCTTCTCTAGGCACACAGGGGACGGCAGGAGCGGTCGTGGGGTGGGCAGTCGGGGCCCCTGCGGCTGACCCGGCTGTGTGACCCAGGCCGGGGTGCTTCGGTCTCTGAGCCTCACCTCTCAGAGGGCCGACCTTGCGGGGTGAGTCGGCGGGGTTCTCGGCAACGAGGAGCGAGCGCGCCCCCTGGTGGCCAGTCGGCGGCCTCGCCGCCAGTATTCCTCCGTCACCCACTTCTCAACAATTCCTCCCCACGGTCCCCCGGCACCCCCACCCCAGGCCCAGCGCTGGGGCACCGAAGCTGCATAAAGAAAATCGAATGCGCAGACCCCAGGCCGAGCGGCCCACGGTGCAGCTGGGGCTGCTAAGGCTGGCGGAACTAGGGCTGGAGAAATCTGGGGATGGGGCTGGGGGCTCCGAGGAGCAGGGGGGCAGGAGGGGCGGGAGGCTTAGTGAAAGGGGCAGGGGAGCTGGGCCTGAAGGCGGGTTTCGGACGGATGGAGAGGGGCACCGCAGCAGCTAGGCGGACAAGGGTGAGGCCCTGCCTGCGGGGCTGGGGCTGGGAGCACACGCACAAACCTGAACAGCACCTACACCGGCTTCCACCAGCCCCAGAGGGAGGGCCGTATGGTGGAAGGATGGGCCCTCCAGTTCCTGCCTGGCTTTGAATCTGCTCCCACCGTGTGACCTTGACCTCCCTGAGCCTCCACTTTCTCCACTGTAAACTAGGATAACACCAGCCCTTGCACCTTGGCTGCGCGGAAGCAGACTAGCTCCCGTCCCCGGGGCCCCTGAGGGCAGGCAGGAGGCCGTGTGTGCGGGGCTGCCCCCTTGTGGAAGGCTGGTAACAGCACAGCTGTCCGACACGACCGCCGCTTAAGAGTGATTATAATTAGGGGCGCCTGCCTTCCACTCAGGTCACGATCTCAGGGTCCTGGGATCGAGCCCCACGTAGGGCTCCCTGCTCAGCGGGGAGTCTGCTTCTCCCTCTCCCTCTGCCCCTCTCCCTGCTCGTGTTCTCTCTCTAATAAATAAATAAAATCTTTTTAAAAAAAGAGTGATTATAATTATGGCTACAGAGTGGTGAGTGCATATGAGGCGCTGGGAGGAAGCAGAGGGGTGGTGCCCCCCGACTCCAGAGATAGCTGAGGGGGTTCCTCGCCCCCCATCCCGGGCCTCTCTCCTAAGCTTTATCTCCCCAGTGAGCGACCCCGATGCCCTGCCTGGCTTAGCACTGGGAACCTACAAAGTAGAAGCAAGAAGTGAGGAGTCCCGTGGTCAGGCTTGGATCAAGAGTGCCCATATTGTCAGAGTCGGTGGAGGGACACGTGTCCCAGGAGGGGATGGGCAGCGGTGGTGGGCTGGAGCCTGCTCCTCCCAACTTATGCTGGCTCATAACCAGCTTGAGAAAGCCAACTGTGTACATCTCTTCCCAATCTCAAGTTCAGTGATGCCAAGTTAGTAGCTTGAAATTGGTCATGGTGGGAGTATTTACACCATGGAAATTGACAGGAGATCGGAGCTGCTTTTTTTCTCCCCAGAGAGCCAGTTACTAACATTATCAAGACACCACTGAGTAGAGGAGGGGGGCATCATCTTGGTAGCCTAGAACATGTATTGGGGAGGCAGCTCATCTGGTCCCCAGTCGACCTATGCTGATAGGAAAACTGAGTTCCAGAGAGGGGCAGGGACAGCTCAGGGTCACAGAGCAAGCTAGTACAGAGCTGGGTCCAGACCTTCAGCCTTTTGCCTCCCAGACCTGGGTTCTGTCTGTTACAGAGGGACCATCCTGAAAGCCAGGAGTGGGGTTCAGGTCCAGTGTGTTCTGGGTGCCAAGGGAGTGAGACTGAAGAGCTATTTCCAACTCTGGGTTGCTGCCTGGCTTGATGTTTTAATTCTCTCCATTCTGCACACAGCCCAATCCCACTCTGTCCCAGGCCCTGGGTGTGGGGCCCCTGGGACATGTGAGCCACAGGCCCTCCCTTCCAGAGCAATGGCTCCATACTTAGACAGTCATGATATGGTTAGATATGTGCTATAATGGGGGAAGCAGCAGCAAGAAGCACAGAGGAGGGCATCTAACCTGGGCCGCAGGGAGTGGGGGACAGGTCCGGGGAAATGGTTCGAAGAAGGCTTCTCAGAGGGTCTGTCAGACCAACTGAGAATGGGCAGTGGCAGCCAGTGAAGAAGAGATTGAGCAGCACGGGCGGAGGCTGAACACCAGGGACTTGAGCTCAGCATGTTCGGGGAACTGGGGTAGCTTGACGGGATGCAGTGTAGGGGTGTGGGGGATGATGAGAGGGTAGGAGGCAGGAGTCCAGCCACGCATGGCTTGAATACTGAGTGTGTCTAGGGAGAGGTGGGGCGAATGGTGGCTGGATTGGAGGGGCAGGGGACGCTGGCAGCTGCTGCATTTGTCCAGGGACAAAAGGGGCAAGGCTGTAGGTCAGCTCACGGGCTCCGCAAAGGGGAACTGGCAAGACTAGGTCCACATCTCCAGGCATAGTGGGCACTAAGGAATGTGGGATTAAATTATCATCCCCCCCCAAATCCGGTCTTGTCTGCTCAACTCAAATACCCAATGTGTCTGTGATACTTTTCTAAAGCCCTGTCCCCCCCAACCAGCCGGCGTCAGGCTCACTGAGCTGGGGGGCCACGGGACTGGCGGCCCCCTCCCGCTCCGCCAGCCCGCGTCCCAGGCGTCACCTGCACGGAGGAGCGCGAGGCCCGGGCCTTGTTGAGCGTGCGCCGGCGCTCCCAGCGGTGGATGGAGTCCTGCACCTCCATGCTCAGCTGCCGGGTCACCGTGATCTTGTCGTAGTTCTTGATGTGCTCCAGGGCCCCGTAGGTGGTGGTCAGGTAGTAGGACCCTGCGGAGACCAGGGAGTGGAAGCTGAGCTGGGACCTCCTCGCCCCGCCCCCTTCTCCAGGCTCCACCCACCGCCGCTGCCCAGGGCACACCTGCCCCTCGGTCACCTGCACATTCGCAAACTTCCTCAAGTCCAGCACCCCCCCCCCCGCCCCAAAGATGGTCTTTGGCTCCCCTTCAGGATGGAACTTCTTTTTCTTTTTTTTTTTTTTTTTTTAAGATTTTATTTATTTGACAGAGAGAGACACAGTGAGAGAGGGAACACAAGCAGGGGGGAGTGGGAGAGGGAGAAGCAGACTCCCCGCTGAGCAGGGAGCCCGATGCGGGGCTCGATCCCAGGACCCCGGGATCATGACCTGAGCCGAATGCAGATGCTTAACGACTGAGCCACCCAGGTGCCCCTGGAACTTATTTTTCAAATAAGTTTTGGAACGCCTTAAAATTTATTTTTTTAAAAGATTTTTAAATTCATTTATTTGAGAGAGAGAGAGAGACAAAGATAGTGACAGAGAGCACAAGGGAGGGAGGTGAGCGAGCACACGAGTGGGGAGGAGCAGGGAGAAGAGGGAGAAGCAGGCTCCCCGCTGAGCAGGGAGCCCTATGCGGGGGGGCTTGATCCCAGGTCCTGGGATTGTGACCTGAGCTGAAAGCAGAGGCTTAACTGACTGAGCCACCCAGGCGCCCCTGTTTTAAAATTTAAAGGTCACATGAGAAACTGATAATCGTGGATGTCTTTAGCGTGGGGGAAAGGGGTGGCTAGGAGACTTCTCATCTCAGAGTGATATGTGTGTGTGTATATAGACAGACAGACACACACATATGTTCTAGTCTAAAAAGTACTTTTCAAAAGTTGTAGAAAAATGTTAGTTATGGTTAATACTTTTACACACGATTTTTAAAGATTTAAGAGAAATAAAAAATTCAAATTCTTCATTTCTCCACTCCTTTTTTACTTACGTTAATTCACATGTGTTTCCTAAGGTAATTTAACCGTTCAGAGACTTGGACTGCAAAATTTACATGAGGTTTTAAGATAAAAGACAATCATTTGCACAGATGCTTACAAGTTCACTCTTCTTAGCTTGCTAGGGGTTTGAGTTAAAATGTTAGTGAAGCACTGACCTCATTGAGCCTTGTCACTTTATTTATTTATTTATTAAAAAAAATTTTTTTTTTTAAAGATTTTATTTATTTATTTGACAGAGAGAGAGACAGCGAGAGAGGGGACACAAGTAGAGGGAGTGGGGGAGGGAGGAGCAGGCTTCCGGCGGAGCAGGGAGCCCGATGTGGGGCTCGATCCCAGGACCCTGGGATCATGACCTGAGCTGAAGGCAGACACTTAACGACTGAGCCACCCAGGCACCCCGAGCCTTGTCACTTTAGAGAGATGGAGGGTACAGCTCTTCCCTGGGCCTCCCTCCCGAGCCCTTTAGGGGCTGGGACAAGGATTTCTCCTCTTGGTTTTTTGTTTTGTTTTGTTTTATTTATTTATTTATTTATTTATTTATTTATTTATTTATTTATTTATTTGCTGGAGAGTAGGGGGGAGGGAGAGGTTATTTATTTATTTATTTATTTGCTAGAGAGTAGGGGGGAGGGAGAGGGACAAGGAGACTCTGCGTGGAGCCTGATGAGGAGTCTGATCTCAGGACCCTGACATCATGACCTGAGCCAAAATCAAGAGTTGGACGCTTAACCAACAGCCCTGCAGGCACCCCCAGGACAAGGATTTCTGACATGAAGCTGATTCTCCTAGTGACCTGTGCAAATCCCATCTCCTCTTTTTTTTTCTGAATAACTGAACTTGACTTTTGGGGGGAAGGAACAGTTAACTAAAAATGCTCACTTCCCAGACTCTCCTGCAGCTCGGAGGGCAGGAGACCCCATTCTGGCTACTTAGATGCAAGTGGAAATCTGTGGTGGTGGGGGGACCTTCAAGGAAAGGCTTCTGAAAGGGTTGCTAATAGCCTTGGGTTTTTGCCTGTCCTCCTTCCTCCTGCCTGGAACACGGAGGTGAGCCCCGAGGCACAGCCGCTGTCTGCAGATCAGAGGTGACCAGCACAAAGACAGAGGCTCACATCCTACAGAACAATGGAAAGAGATGGGTCTGGGATTTCCTGATGACAGGGCTAAAAACTGCCATTATCATCAGTTGCTTCTCCTAGGTCTTCTTTTCTTTTCTTAAGATTTTTATTTATTTATTTGAAAGAGAGTGAGAACGAGGGAGATCACAGAGGCAGAGGGAGAAGCAGACTCGCCGCAGAGCAGGGAGCCCGATGCGAGGCTCGATCCCAGGACCCCTGAGATCATGACCTGAGCTGAAGGCAGACGCTTAATGACTGAGCCACCCTGGCATCCCCACTCACTTTTAAACCATTATTAGTTACATCGCGAGTTATCTGCAGCCCCAAGCATTCCTGTTAGATTGGATGACGCTGCCTCCATATGCCTACAAATTTCACACCGATATGGAAAGAAGCTCACAGCCTGGCTGGGGAGGGTGTGATGCTCATGTCAAAGCTGACATAGAACTTGGGTTGGTATCCCTTATTGGAGAAGAGCCAGCTTCTAAACCACTCATGTGTCTCCCTTTCCAGTGGAGCTTAAAGCTAGCTGTGCCAGGAACCCTTCCCTGGCGCCGCCCTCCCTGGCGGTCCCGAGAGTCCCTCTCGTCCGGCTGGCGTGCCTCCCAGGCCCTGTGTCCCAGCCGTGATCAAGTCTCCCGGGCTGCTGATGGAGGAGCTGAGGGCAGTGCACGGGCTGACCGAGAGCGTTCAGTTTTGGAGTCTGTGTCCTTCAGCAGCCAGCCCTGGGATCTCGGGGGAGTTACCGTCCTCTCTCTGCCTGTTTCCTCATTTGCTTTTCTGAGGATGTTGTGAAAAGTAAATAAGATGAATACTGTCAAGTGCAGGGCTTAGTAAGGTGTGAGTAACGCAGGTGGTTAGGTGACCTAAGACAGAAAGATGCCCCGGGGTGGCGGGGGGCTGGGAATCTCACCCTCTTTGAGCCAACTTCCCTTTGACTTGGGGGGGGGGGGGGCCATCATGCCATGCAGTACCTGCCAGGACCACTAGGTGGCAGGCGAACCCTCCCACCATGAGTTTGGGAGCTGGTAGTTCCCTTTGGGGAGAGTGTTGTCCTTTGATGAAGAAAACTCAAGACCCCTATTAAGATATTTGTACAGCATGGCCAGCCATCAGTTAGGGTGCAGAAGGGACATGGGCAAAGATGTGCAGGAGGGTGCTTCTAGGAGAGGTTTGGATTTTGAGCCGGCTCCAGCCAGGTGCCCAGAGCTGCCTGGGTCTCCCCGTCTAGCTTTTAATTGCCCAGAGTGGTGGGAGCTGCAGAGAGAGGCTAGAAGGGGGCCTGGGTCCCATCTGCCCAGCCTTCAGGCCCCCTCTACTTCTTCTAGGAAGTCCCTGATCTTCCATGCCTGATAAGCCCATTGCAAACAAAGTGGGACCCGATCACTGGTCTTTTACCAAATTAGCAGCACTCGGAACCAGCTGAAAGAACATGAAGGTCTCAGAGGGCACAGAATCAGACTGTCGAATGCAGAATGCTGGAGCGCCCAGTCAGCTTGAAAACCTCAAATCTAGCCCAGCACATGCACTTTCCCAAGCCAGAGAAGTTAAGTGACTTGTCCAAGGTCTCCAGCCAACTGGAGGCAGCACCGGGATGGAAATTCTGCCTGCAAACCGCTCTTCTTATTACACCTGTGTTAGTTCTGTTAGAATGGAGCAACTGAAGTTCTCTTGAGTGAGGACTCCCCGAGGGCCGGCCCTTGCCCCAGGCATCTCTGAGCATCTCAGAGCACCAAAGGCAGGCAGACTCTTCTTCTTAACCGAGCCTCAGGTGCTTTGGGGATGGAGCACCCTGTGTGCCACCAGCCTCCTAGGACAGGAGGCAAAGCTGGGAAACTCAGGAACATTGTCTCCCCCCCACCCCCCGCCCCGCTGTACCTTGTGCTCTGTCCTTCTGCCCCTAAGCCCAGATACTTCTAGATGGAGATCTGCTAGCTGTCAGACTTGACGGGTGGAAGCCCCTGCCGAAGCTAGAGACCCCCACGTCCTCTCACTACTGGGGGGCCAACACCTGTGAGGCTGGGCCTGTTCTGGGTGCTGTGACTTCCCACTTTGGCTCTCAGGGTAGGAACAGAGAGAGGTGCAGGGAGGCCTCCTGGTTTGTGCTCCATGATATAAAGTATGTCCTCTGGCCCTCAGAGCTGCCATGGGCAGCGTCTGTCACCGCTGTGGCGGGGGGGGGGGGGGGGGAGGAGGGGGCAGGGCTGTGGGGAGGGGCCATGTGCAGTGCCTTGCAAGATACTGCCCTGCCCGCATCTTTACTCCCAGCAAACACCTCGTGGATTCCTTAGAAATCTTCCCATGGGGCCAGAGGCTGACTCCTTGAGTTTGAAAGAGGCTGCAGGGTATTCAGGCAGCCCTGGCTCAGAAACTGTGAGCTAAGACCTTTACATATTTACTTGTACTTGGCTTGTCTCAAAAATGCTCAACATAGGCCAGACTAGACCAGCACTCCTGCCTGAAGGACCTCGGCTTTCCCACGCAAACCCTGTGTAGGCTTCAGGGACAGGAAGAAGATCCTGGGAGGCCATGGCAGGATGGGGGTGGGGAGTGCAGGTCCATAAGGAGAGGGTAGTTGGGCCAAGGATGTCCCTGCCCTGTCCCTGCTCATCACTGTACCTGGCCCGGAGCCCCATTTGGCCACAAGAATTCAGGCTGAGGATGGAGTAGGAGTCACCGTGGCCAGGATGTGACAGACCACCGCTGGGAACAAGCCAGCCAGGCCCATGGCAGAGCCCCATGGTCTCGCTCCACCCCTCAAAGGGCTTTTGTGGACATTGTCTCTAAGACCCTACAACAACCTATGGGGGTTGAGGACAGTCCCTTAACAGGATTTGTTAGTGATTTCTTCCCAGGGAGATCGGCAGCAGTGCCCACTGTGGAAAATTTGAAAAATCAGGAAAAAAGTAAAGAGAAGGCACTCTTTGCTCTGTGCTCTGGGCCTTCCATGGTTGTCTGAGCCATGTCCTGCCCCACTGCGCTATCCCATTAGCCTACTTCATTTCTTCTCAACATCCATCAGATGTGAAATATTTTCATTTGCTTATATGTTTAACTTATTTAAAGTCTGACATCCTCTCTCCACCAACTGGAATAAAGTTTCACAAGAAAGGACACCTGTTGTCACCTGGCATAAATTAGAAGCTCAGGCAATCTCTGTTGAATGAATGAGTATATGGCCTTTTCCCAGGTAACTACTGAGTCTAAGTGCTTTTCTTATTGACTTATAAGAACTTTTTACATATTCAGGCTATTAATTTTTGGTGTGCTAGTTTGTAGAACACTTTTCTCTGGTTTACTGTTACTATCTTATTCTATTATGATAATTTCTGACACATAAAGGTTTTGCCCTTTAGAGGTTACGTGTATGGTAGCCAGACGACAACAGCTAATATTCCTGCTGAGAGCTCTGGGCAGGCTGCTACACTACTCAGGGGCTAGTCCTAGGAAATAGGGTGCTCAGGATTTGGGGCAGGAAGCCAATTCTGCTCACAGCCCCCTGACCCTCCTTGCCTCCCATTCCCTTCTATTTTTTCCCCTTAGACTGTGGGAGACAGATCACTGTTGTCTGGAGGCCTCTGCCCACCCCTTCAGCCTTGTGGTGCTTTCATGTGCATGCTCAGGGCTGGATAAATCAAGGAGGAAGGCTCAGGAAGGCCTGAGGTAGAGGCTCCAAAGTGTGGGGTTCAGAATGAAGCATTCATTCATTCTCATGAGAATATAAGCCTCGCCTGCCTTGTCCTGCATTGTAGCCCAAGTGCCTGGGACACAGTAGGGACTCACTGAGTAGCTACTGAATGGATAGATGAATGGGTGGGTGGATGGATATATGGTAGATGGATGGCTGGCTGGGTGGGTGAGTGGGTGGATAGGTGGATGGATGGATGGATGGATGGATGGATGGATGGATGGATGGTTGAAAGGGTGGATGGATGGGTGGGTGGGTAGGTATACGGGCAGATGGATGGATGGGTGGGTGAGTGAGTGGATGGATAGGTGGCTTGATGGATGGATGGATGGATGGAGAGATAGATGGGTGGATGGGCGATGCATGGGTGGAGATGGATGGATGGATGGATGGATACCCTGGGCAGCAGATAATAACTGCTGAAGGAAGCCTGGCTTCCACTGATTTCCTACATTCTCTGGAAGACAAGTTGTTCTAGCTGCAGAAAATTTTTAACTAACGAGGAGAAAAAAATAGTTCCAGAGGTCCCAGAGCCCAGACAGAGTTCTATGTGGCAACAAACTTCAAGGCTTTACACTCTCCCCTCAGTTTCCAAGAACTCACAGAACCAGCCTCGTCACACTATCACCCCAGAGACTGATACATGCTAAAAATGCAAACAGATGCAAAGAAGACCAGCTTATCTCAAGAACCACAAGGCCCAAAGGGGACACTCGAGCCCTGAGAGTCTCACTCCGTCCTTTGGGGCTGACATCTCAGAGGACAACTCGGGGCCTCCTCGGGGCTGAGATCTGGGGGGGGCCGTAGCTCAGGGATTCTCAGTGGAGGCATGGCCAAGGCTAAGTGGGTGGGGGGAAGTGGTGGGAAGGACGAAAGGGGAAGGGAAACTGACTGGGGTGGAGCAAACCACACCTCTGTCATCATCCTATTGGTGAGAGCAGTGCTCCTTGTCCATAGTATCAAGCTTCTCTTGCTGACAGGGGACCTGGCCAGGGCTGACCGAGCAGGGGGCTGACAGTTCCCAGGACCACCCCTGTCTAAGAATGGATCATTATTCCTTGCTTAGACTCCTTCCCATACATCTGCCCACTGCGCCAGCCTTATCTTTTGTGCTGTTCCCTCTGTGAAGTAATGCCTTTCCCACTTCTTGAACTGGCTGGCTCCTAGCCATCCTTCAATGCTCAGCTTGGGGGTCACCTCCTCCTGGAAGCCTTCCCTAACTGCACAGCCTGGGCAATGTGCTCCCATCCGCTCTGGGCTTCTCATCATTCCAACATTTGTCAAGCAGTGGTGACAGGGTCTCTCTATTGGCCCAGCTCCCCTTCTAGTCCATGAGCCCCCCCCCAGAACGGGGCCTACGTCGGACCCTGAGTCTTGTCCGCAGGGCTCAGTGGAATCTGGCAATCCAGGAAGTGCTTATTGGGCTATGCAGTGTGCCCCGGGTGTGGCTGAGGCCAGTGGCATGCATCGGGCCCCAGTGGCCCAGAGCCAGGCCCGGGCTGGTGACTCACCCTCCCCCAGCTGCAGGGCAGGGTCCATGAGCTCCATCATGTATTCCACGTTGAGGAGCATCTCTGTGAGGTTGCTTCGGGCCAGCACGTACATGAGCACGGGCAAGAAGTCGTCTGCCCCGTAGGGCTTCCCTGGGAGGAGAAAGGATACAGAGGATGGTGAGCATGAGGTTCTCAGTTCCCTGCCCCGGGGAAGAGCACAGTGGTTTGCTGGGTGGGGGATGGTCACTGCTGTAAGAGGAACCTTGCCACTTTCTCGTGACTCAGGACAGGGGAGACCTGGGATCAGCCCTCTCAGGAAGGTATGAGACACGGTCCAGGTTTAGGAAGAAGGAACCAAGAGAGACACCCTCCCCTGGAGTGGGCAGGAGCCAACCCCCCCCCTCTTCCCCAGCTCTTTCCCCTCAATGCCCCTTGCTACTTTTTTTTTTTTTTTAAAGATTTTATTTTTAAGTGATCTCTACACCCAATGCGGGGCTCGAACTCAAAACCCTGAGATCAAGCCTCGCACGCTCCAGCAACTGAGCCAGCCAGGCGCCCCTGCCCCTCCTTGCTGCTTATTTGACAGTCAAGTTCACATCACACTGATTCACGGAGCCACCCAGAAACAGTTGTCTTTCTTTCTTTTTTTTTTTTTAAAGAGTTTATTTATTTATTTGACAGAGAGAGAGACAGCGAGAGAGGGAACACAAGCAGGGGGAGTGGGAAAGGGAGAAGCAGGCTTCCCGCCGAGCCGGGAGCCCGATGTGGGACTCGATCCCAGGACCCTGGGATCATGAGCTGAGCCGAAGGCAGTCGCTTAACCAACTGAGCCATCCAGGTGCCCCGAAACAGCTGTCTTTCTAATAGTGATGTATTCTGGGAAGTTTCCCTGTCCCTTTAACCACACATCTCCCTCTCCACCTGCAAAACAGAAAGCCCTCCCTCAACCAGTACTATGTGGTTGGAAATTCTACCATTCAACCTTCACTCTATTGGGTTAAGCAGGGCCCTTTCCTGAGGGGTTCTTTTAAAATGTAAATACCTCTGAAAGGAATAACCCATCACAGGGCACCTGGGTGGCTCAGTCGGTGAAGTATCTGCCTTCAGCTCAGGTCATGGTCCCGGGGTCCTGGGATGGAGCCCCACGTGGGCTCAGTGGGGAGCCTGCTTCTCCCTCTCCCCGCCTCCTGCTTGTGTTCTCTTTCTCTCAAATAAATAAATACTTAAAAAAAAAAAAAAGGAATAACCCATCATTTCTGCTTTTGTAGGAGACGTTCACATGGCTTAGAGCATTCTGACGGTCATAGATGCCTTGGGGAAGAGAGGAGGGTGGCCGGTGAGCCTAAGAGATGCCTTCCCAGTGTGGCTCTGGGCTGGCTCTGGAGACTGACTGACTGGCAACATAAAGTCAAAGGCTCGCCATGGAAGGGAAGAATTCCTACAAGGACAGAATCCCCTGGAGTCCCTCAGTTGACATCTTGGCATGCCTCTGAGTGCACTGGGGGGAAGGAAAGCTTGGCTGAGCAGCTTTGCATGGTGGGGAATGGCCAAACGGGGTCCCCAAACTCAGCTGGAGGTGACTGTGCCTTTAGGGCCACAAACTTGGCCTTGAGTTTCCCGGTGGCCAAAGTGAAGAGGAAAACAATCAGTTACATCCTTCTCATTGTCTGCGAGAAGAAAACACACCAGTTTCTCAGGGGCACCAAGTCATTTCTCTAATGCTTAGGGCTAATAGAGACATTTCCCCTATGGCTTCATGAGGGGGACACCATCGGCAAGTTCCTTTGGCACACGTGGGGGATTAAGTTGACTTCACGATTTTCATTGCTTTGCCTCGAGATGCCGCTCAGGGGGAAGCGCTTCCGGCATAGAAGCGCGAATTTTATAGCTCATCCTGCAGGCTCTCCTCCAGTCCTTGTAACTATTATGTGAACTAGGCGTTGTTTTGCCCATGCAGAGGAAAAAGCCCTGAGGACGATGAAGGGACAAGAGAGGATTGAAGTCACACCAGGCTGCAGGTACCTAAGAGAAGAATCAACTCCGTTTTGTGTAGATCACTGGTGGGAGCATGTGTGAAGAGCAGTCTGGGCTGTGTCCTAACGTCTACAGAATGTGAGGTGCAAAACCCAGTGGAAAGTGCTCCCAGTGAGTGGTCAGAACGGCTTGGCCATGGCCCACCTGATCGTTCATTCACTCACTCATTCATTCCCTCACTCATTCATTCATTCATTCATTCATCCATCCATTCATCCATCCATACATTCATTCACTCATTCACTTAAACCCTCTTACTAACCACCCTATTCTTTGGGTGTTACGTGCCCAGGTAATAAGATCTGAGTTTTCTGGATTCTGGTGAGGACCAGAACAATGCAAGTAAGAGAAACAGTGTGAAAGAGGTTTTGAAAGGAGTGGGCGAGCTCCATGTTGAATTTAGCAGCTCCTCCAGTGGCATTTGGTCTTGCTGCCTGAGCCCGGACAGGTAGGCACCCTCACGGGGCGCTGGGTCACCCCTGAGGGGTGCGATCGAGCACCACTTCAGTGGGTTCCACGTGTCCACGCCTCTCCAGCACAGGCCAGGCCAGCCCCTCCTCCTGCGTCCTCCGTGGTCCACCCCCATACAGCTGCTGGCACCGCGGGGGCCTCCGATCATGTCTGTTCAAGGGGTGCCCCTTCTGCTCACAACTCATCCTTGCTTGGTTTCCCAGAGAACAGTGTGCCTCGTGGCCTGCTTCCTGGCCGCACTCAGCTCCTACATCTGCAAAATGGGGCCAGCAACACCAACCCTGATGGCCTTTCAGGGTTTTCAAGAGAATAAGATGAGAAAGTACAAACGCATTCCGTCCCTGTGAAGGGCTATGGAAAAGGGAGCTATTACCGACATCTCTGTTCTGCTTTCTCAAGTGGCCTCAGTTTTTCCATTGTGAAATAAACAGGCTGGAGGGGTTGGTAACACACAGCCCTGAAAAGCAGCGTCAGACCCCGAGCATGAGCCTCGGCGCACTTCTTACCAGCTGTGTGACCTGGGGCTAATCGCTTTACCTCTCTGAGCCCGTATTTCTAGTCATGCATGATGTGACACAGATCACGTGACATGCTGTGGGATTTTGGTGAGAATTCTATATGAAGATTCACCCAGACTGCTCCCACATGCTCCCACGGAAAATGCCTGCTAAAAAACATCCATATTTTCCATGCCAGTTCTGTGTTCTGAGGCTCTCTGCTTATTTGTTTCAAGGTTCCTGTCCCTACCCTGCACCAAATGAGTCTGTTTTAAAAAAAGAAAGCTTTGCCCCAAACCTTTATAAGCCTGAGACACAAATTAAGGGTTCTCGGGGCAAGATTTTGTGCCGAGAGTTGTTCTTCATGTTGATAATTTAATTATTAGAATCCTGGCCCACAGGAGATTCTTCTCTTGTTGGAGTTATGCGTTGAGAACTGATGGGACATAGTCCCGTGCCTTTCGGAGTAAGCCTATAACTCATGCGCTGGCTGAGAGCTCACTGAATTTCACTAGGCCTCTAGAACACCAATTTCTTCTTGCTGTTGTGTTAATAACTCACCAAGGAATACAATCAGGCAAGCTAACAGTGCGGTGTTGCCCTTCAGGGGTCACTGGGCCGTGTCTGGAGTCGCTGTTCGGTTGTCACATTAGAACAGGGGTGTTACGGGCCCCAAGGCCAGGGATGCTGCTGAGCAGCCTACAATGCCTGGGACAGCCCTCCATCCTAAAGATGTATTCAGCCCCAGATGTCTACAGTTCCAAGGGCAAGAAGCTCTGCTGGAGGGGACACTGACTTTCAGCAAGAAGGAGGGTCCAGCTCTGGCCCTAGGTTTGGGACTCAGAGGCCCTCTGGACTGTGGCTGTGTGCCTCGTGGGGATGCACAGTCATTCCTTCTTCTCCCCATGCTCTTCCTGAGAATCCTGGCCGACGTTCAGGAAGGGCTTTGGGCCCATCTCCTTGGTTTGCACACATTCTGTTCAGCTACCTCACTGCTGGGCTCCCGTGGTCCCACGACTGTCCCTCCAACTACCCGTGAACATCCCCTCTTTGTCCCTGCAGTACACAGTGGCAGGGCACAGCAAAGGTGAGCAGGAAGCTGAGCTCCCACCACGGTTCCCCGGCTCCGGTGGATCTCTACAGAGACCCTCGAGTCCTTCCCACACCAGGCCCAAGCCAAGTGTTTCATTGTTTCCTAGAAACCAGCCCTTGCTGGGAACCTTCCCAATTCTGTCAAGGAGCCCCCGCCCCCAGTCCCAGGATGCAAGGCCTGGAAGTAGTCCCTTCCTCTGGGGCTCTCTGTTCCCTGTGGCCAGGCAGGCCAGAGCCCCAGGGGAGTCTGCCTTCTGACTGCTTCCTGCCCTCACCCTTGGCTTTTTCCAGCCCTACTCCCCTAAGCCTGTCCTCCCAGCAGGGTCTCTGTCCTTTGATCCATTCTGTCCACTAACTCATCTCCTGGGAGTACGACTCTGATCATGTTGTTTCTCAAGAACCCTCAATGGCTCCCCACTGCTTAGAGAATCAAGTCCAGACCTCTTCGCCTGATGTTTAAGGCCTTCCCCAGTTGCACCCATAAACACCTGTCCAACATGATTGACTCTACCCTCTTCCAGCCACACCATCTAGTCAATGGCCTCAGAATGGGTCACCTGCCTTCCAGGCCTTTGGGATTGGCCACAGTCACCTGGCTGGCATGGCTTCTCCTTGCCTTCCACAGGCCTGAGCCTTCCATCTCCCATCCAGCACCAACATTTGTGGGACACTCTAAAAATGCAAAGCATATTTTATAAACATTTTATCAGTGAATTCCTAAAACAACTCTGTAGGGTGGATTAGATTCATTGTGCCCAGATGAGGGAAGTGAGCCCCAGGGAAGGTAAGCTACTTGCCTAAGGTCACATGGCTAGGATGCGGTGAACCAGGACTTGAATCCGACTTTTTCTTACCCAGGATCCCATGTTCCTGGTACTTCAACATTCTTCCTTCATGTTCCACCTCCTCCACGAAGCCCTCCTGGGCTGCCGTTGCTACTGGTGCTTATTCTACACTCTACTTTCCAACTTCCAACTCAGAACGACATTCTGCCTTCATCACCTTCCCACATAACTTTCCTCCGTGCTGAATCATGGGCCTTTCCCTGAACTCCAA